CACCTTTAAATTTCTAAACTTGTTCATCCTGTTTTCACAATTTAAACAATACAAAAAGAAGGGGGCGTCGGTGGCGGCAACGGTTTACGCGTTGACACGGCGCTCACCACTGTAAGGTGAAGGTCCCGGGTTCGAATCCAGCGGTCCTGCATTCGAACCCGACATACTTACAAATGGGCTGATTTTCAAAAACACAGGCACCCTGAGGGTTGATATAACCTCTGCTTTGCGAACTCTCGTATAAAAAAAAATATAAAAAAAAAATATAAAAAAATAAACAATAGGTGAATATTTTTCGTTTTAACTACTAATTTAATGTTTTAATTTATTTTTTCTATATTAAATTCCTTAGCTATGTACATATTTATCCAAATATAAAATAATTCAACCCTTTAAGATAAATTTTATCCTAATAAGTTTGCAATCATTCGGTTTTATAACTCTTGTATTTTGAAGCAATGTTTATTTAGTCGTTTGTTTAGCAGTTTTATTTTAGCAGTTTAGTTGGAGGTCTTGTATTTCTATAAGATGTTTTCTAATGTAAATTGGAGGACAAATAGTGCCTTTTAATTCATTTTAATAGTCAATTTATTAACGCAATGGGAAAACCACAGCTCCTACTGCTAGGAAAATTTGTGATGTCTATGGAGATGACACTTTAGGAGAAAGCACCATCTGTAAGTGGTTGTAAGTGGTCGGGTCGGTTCTGAAACGAAAATTTTGGTTTGGAAGAAGCAAAGCGCTCTGGTCGTCTTTCAATGGTTGATGATTACTACATTCAAGTTTAGCCCAAAATATGTTATACTCAACGACGCGAGACGTAGCAGACTAACTAAACGTATCTCACACAAGCGTTTCTGCACACCTGCTAGCAGTTAGATATGTTGCAGCGATTATATATGTTTCTCACATGTTGACTGAGGAAAATTTATTGGATCCCACCTCATTCTGGATTCCCTGCTTTAATGCAATGGAAACAATCAATGTTTGTAAAGATTGATAACTGGGCTTTTTTAACAATGTTCATAAGACAATCTTAGGTAAAACCTTACATTTAGCGACTCCCTGTTAACAATTTCAAAAGCCAGTTTACATCCCAACGAAGTAAGGTGTATTTGGGGGGAATTCAATGGGGTGCTTGATGGTGATGGATACCTACAAGGGTTCTTCATTATCAGCTTCTTCCTTACTGGAGCGATTACAGCAAGCAATTGATCAACAACAACAAGCATTGGCTAATCGCAAGAAGATTGTTTTACCTCCAGGATAACAGTCGGCCCCTTGTGTCTTCGTACAAGTGCCAGACATTTCTGGAGCTTGGCTGGGAAGTGCTACTCCACTCATCCTGTTTTAATGACATTGCTCCTTAAGATTTTACTTATAACGTGCTCTGCAAAACTCTAATAATGGGAAAAACTTTCCTTTACTGGTTGCAAAAAATACACCAAGAAGTTCATCGCTCAAAAACCAGAGTTCTGGCGGAATAAAATTACATGAAAAATGGTAGTGGAACAAAATGAACCATATATTGCTGATTATTAAATTAATTTACAAGAACCTGAAATTTTGATTGAATTTCCAATGAATAACTCTATGGACTTATTTTACGCCCTGATATTTTTGCATTTGTTCTTATATGTTATTTTTTAAGTTTTTTTAAAGAAAAGAGTGGACCATAACATATCTGTTTATATCTCGTTGGATTTATTTTTCAAAATTAATAAGAAAGCTTTAAGTGTTGTATACACTATTGGGTATGAATATACATATGAACTGTATATGGTAAAATGCTCATCGGTAACCTTAAGTCGTATTAATTATTAATCTCATCAAATTTGATACATTCCAATTGCCAACCATCTTGGCACTCGGGTGTTCCAAATCACGTACCAAAATGATTTAGTAAGTAAGTGTATTATTTGCATGTCACGCGACATGGGAAATTACACTAATACGTGTGACGCTTTACATAACAATTGACGTTTTGACCTTTAATCAACGGTCGCACTATGTAGCTCATACTAAGATTAAAATAACAAATTAAGTAGGTGTCGAAAATGTTTTTAAACGATAGATTTTAAGATATACGATAACTACAAATCGTTGCCTTACATCTTTGTCTTTTTAAAGAGGATGTTGTCAGTAGACAAAAGACGGAGTGAACTAGGTTAAGAACGTGTTTTGAGGATCTTCCTGGGGAGGTAATTAGAGGCGGACGCCCAATGCGAGGGACCCGGGAGTCCGGGTATATTTTATTCATGGTGTGGGGCTTTAGCCAACCAACAAACATCCTCCTTAACCGTCCCAGAAACTCACAAACATCCACAGCAATCCCACAACTTATCAAAACCCGTGTTCTTTTAACTAAGCAAATATCTTCGTTTGGAATAAAATATTTTTATAATTATAAAATTAACAAGAGGATCAACGTGCATTGATTAATTAAATATGAATCGACAAAGGAGTTTTCTTTCGTGTTACCACATGCTGAAGTAACATAATGAAATTAGCTAGGAAGAATATGTTGTTTCAGATTTTTAAAACATTTCAACTCTTATTTGTTATAGAGTTAATGCCTTCTTCAAGCTGAACCGCATTGTAGGAGGGAAATTATGTACAAATATGAAATAAAAATAAAAACATTAAAAACAAACGATTCTTTTAAAAAAATGATAGTACGGAAACTTCTTTATATCGAAAGTACAAGTCAATATGATAGAAACCAACTTCGAGGCCTATTGATCCTCAAAAATATCCAGCGAAGTTTTATTTAGAACAGTGACGGGTATTCACTTCTAGAAAAGGCCTTTTCATGAATAAAGAAAACCTTTGCACAATGGAGAACGAATTACTCATTTAAACGCCTTTTATTTTCAGATTTTCGGTCAAGTGACGTTGACATTTCGCTACGGCAGGGAGGATGAAGAAGTGATGGGATTGAAATTCTGCAACGAGGCTATAATGTGTCTTGCACAACTATATCCACCGCATGAGCGAGCACCCAACGAGCCAAATACTCCTCTCCAGGTAAGGGTAACTTTTACAAACTTATCAGTTCGATATAATCTGATTTGAACACACAAAAATTATTTCTTTTCTAAAATAACGATTCTAAAATCACATAGTTCATGGTTATTTACAGCGCATTGCTCTATTTTTAGAGATCTACGAAATACAAGCCGGTTGTTAATTGGAGGGCTGAGAACCACCTTTACGAATAATAAGGGACGAGCTTAAGGCCTCATTAAATTTGACGGGCCTCCCTTGGTTGAGTAAATAAACGAGAGAGAATATTTTTGTTATATACAATTAAGGTTAAAATAACCAACCTCCAATAATCATAAATTGTTTTAAAAAGAATCGACGAGGCATAAAAGTATTTTAAGGGGTTGGAAATTAATAATTTACTAAAACAGGTCGATTGGTATTGTAGTAACACAATTAATTATAGCAACTAATATCTATGGTTTAGTATAGCTCGATCAGATCCAGTCTAGCTAGTTCTGTCCGATACATTTCGCTATCTTCAGTGATTGGTCTGTGCGTTTCTCATTTGTCGTTTTTATCGCTAATAATTGTTTTGCGATAAACAGACCAAGATGTCGGATGAAGAAAACGACCAAATTTCAAATGTAATATTCCTCAAGAAACAGTGAATTGTTTGTACTTCAAACTGTATTTACTTTTTATGGGGAAATATTTAAACTAGAAGACCGAGGGGGCTAAGTGGTTAGGGCGTCTGATTCGAATTTGCCCCGCTAGAGTTCTGGGTTCAAATCCCGACCTAGCTCATGAGAATTGGACCTAGCTTAATTGGAAATAGTACGTAAAAGGTATTGTAAAGTGGTTTGACTCCTCGTCAGAAACACCCAGCGGGTAGGGGTCTGGTCTGCGCATTTCCCGTGTGTACGTCATTTTGATCGGTAAATAGTTGTAAACCAGCAATAATAGCAGACCAGGATGAACAGATGACAGAATACGACAACTATGATAACTTGAGAAACAGACAAACGTGGTCTGTGCGTTTCCCCGTTAGTATCCCCTTTTTAAGGATAAATATTTGATAAGCTAGCGATAAGAGCGGTCCAAAGTGATTGGATGACAGGAGGCGACTAATATAACATTCTTAGATTGATCTTATCAAAACTACAGGAACATCGAACATAATGTTTCCATTGACTAACCACGAAAGTAAAACGAGCGATGATTAGCAGACCAGAAGAAACAGATTCAGTTGAAAAGAAACAGCCAGATTGCTAATATATTTGCGAAAATCTTCCATTGTCTGGCCTGCGCGTTTCCCCAAATTTATGTCCTTTTAATCGGTAAAAAGGAAAACTAGCGATAATGGAAGATCAAGCTGATCGGATGGCAGGAAACGACCATACTGCAAATGTATTACAGGAAGCAACCAATTGTTTGGTCTGCACGTTTTCCCGTGTGTATGTCCTTTTTGTACATTTTAATTGTTGGCGCACCCTTTAACTCTAACGATTGACTTTGTCAAACACAGGTTCGTGCACTTCGAACAAGTTGTCCCCATTGACTGGTCAATATAATAATATATTTTATTAACATGTTTTATTAACGAAATAATATTTTCCTCTTAGTTTTATTAAAATCCACTACGATATCAACCTCCCTGAGATTTCAATTTAAAAATTAATACTCTGCAATAAGTTAATATTTCCATTCACCCTTGGGGGATTTTTATCTAATTTTGCTCCGAAATAAAAGATATAATTTTAACAAATATTTATCAAAAAATAAATAAATGCGGTCACCCGTGCCACCCGTGAAATTGAGCCGAGAAAAGAAAGGCGGACTTTTTTCAAGTTGCCGCTTAGTTGAAACATGCTCTGGTTTCAAGTACTTCCCTTCTTACCGCAGTAAACAAAAGACTTACTTTAAATTACAAAAAATAGCAATTTCTTTATAGTGGAGCTTTCAAATTTGTTGTTTATATTTCCGTAAAAAATCGATACCACCTTCCCTTTTGTTCTGTGTATAAAAGCGTTTGAAAATATTTATTGTTTTACACAGTTTTTCATACTTCAACAACATACAAAAAGCGGTAGTTCCATTTTTATTTTGTTGAAGAGCGTTGATACGCTCCCCCCTGGAGTAGGCAAGTAAGTACTCAATTGAAAATGCCGATGGCGGAATATCGAGTACACCCCTCACAGATTTCCTTTTTTAAGAAAAAAAAAATCCGGATCTTTCAATTTAGTTCTAATCGTAATCACTACCAAACTACATTGCAACTGAAGCCGATGCCCATCTACTTTCATTAAATCTTTTAAAAAATGAATCGTTACAGGTCGAGGGGGGAACACTGTATTATGCACCGCGAATTATCCTTGTCTACGAAATTCCGTTCCGGTCTGACTAAAATTAAAAGTAATTGCCAGTTCATAACAAAAAACATAATGTATTAGTATTGTGGTAATAATGGGTAATAATGGATTAGTATTTTGTTCTGTTTTTAAAGACAGCAGGGTCGTCCAGAGATAAATACATTTTGTTAATTTAATCCATTATGTTTATTAGTCTGATTGACCGAATTACTTCTTATATATTACACAGGGCGGGCGACCAGGACCCGAGGGGTTAAAAGCCTGAGTAGGCCCGTACCCCATCCGAATTACTTCTTACAATTAATCATTCTTTTTATGTAAGGTCTTAGTTGAAATGAAAAAGTTAGTGTTACGAGCGGGATTCGGACCCAAAAAAAGCCGAAGGTCGTGGGTTCGAATCCCTCGTGACATTAACCTTCATTTCAACTAAGACCTTATATAAAAATAATAGTTACATTTAATGTTGAGGTCACTGTGGATGGTGCGGTTAGGTCGAAATAATTTTAAGAACATTTAGTTTAGCTAGTTTGTTAAGGTCCTCTTAGATGCTTAAGTCTTCTGTTCAGTCCTATTCCATGTTCGTTACTGCTCCCCGTGTACCATTTCTAGAGCAACAGCCAAGGCAAAACTCTCGCTGCTGAGGGAATGAGAATGTGCTTGAAAGGACTGGTTAGGGTGGACGAGGGGTTAGAGTGGAACTTCAGGAAGTCTCAAATATGTTGAGCTCATATTTGATGGTGAGGTTAGAGGCACAGCACGGAGCTTGCACAATTCTTCTGAGGGCTTTGGATGGATTGAATGTTGAATGGCTTAGTAGTACAACACAGTTCTGCTCTGTTTGTTCAATTAGGTCGAAGTAGTCTTTGTATAGTTGTTATACTGATAATTGCCTATTTAATTACCAGCTTATAAAAGTGGTAAAATTGAAACAGAAACCTTCCGACTTTGCCATGAAACATTGTTACTATTAGCTCTGAAACGGCACACTCCGGAAAGTACACCATCAAAGAGGGGCTCCGGAAAGACACGAAACTAATCAGCGTGAATTATAAAATAAAACAAAGTAAAATAAAAATGATGAAATGATAATACGACAAAAAACAGATCCTTGTTCAAAAAAATAATAAAATCGCCAGTTCAAACGTAAAGAATTACTACTGAAATAAACCATAAAATTCTAGAATCTAATTCATCATAAAAAAACTTGTTAAAATGTAAACTTGTCTTCCTTATACTGCCATTATGCATTTCAAGCCGAGAGACAAGCGACCCTCTGTGCGGAATATTAAATCGGAAGGATTGGGCCAACACTCTACTTGTGCGAAGTATTTAATTGGGTCAAAGCTAACTTTTAATAACAGACACTGTCACTTCCAATACAAGGCTATTTCATTATTTTTTAAGAAGGTAGTTCAATCGGGGAAAAACTTGACTCCGAAACTCAATCTAAGTTAAGGACATTTCGTCTTTTTTATTACAAAAGAATATTTTGAATGAAACGCTCTAACATGCTTTGTACATCATGAGGTAAACATGTTGAAATGAACTATTATCATTAAACAAACCTTTAAATAATTCAATATGTTAAACCTGTCACCGTACATTCATTCATTGTTTTGGTATACGAAATACAGTACTGCTTCGGAACTACCGGAAGTAGGGAAACATTGTACAAATTAAAATTTCCCTTTACGTTTGAGAACTTTCTGAAACTTTTTTATTTTATTGTCCCTCTTTAATGCGTAGTCCTCCAAAATGAAAATTTACACTTTCACAGCTTCACACGTTCAGACCTTTCAAACCTTTCAATTTACAAATAAATTAAAAACCCAAACAAAAATTTGTGAATAAACATAAAATCTTGAGGTAGATACATAAAGAACAATTTTTTTAAACAGTGAAAACTAGATAATTTAATACCCATTTAACAAGCGAATTAGTAAACGTATTTATCAAGGAATATTTGGTAAAGAAAAATATTATATTTAAATTTAAAGACAAAAACGAAAACAACATAAGATTTTTGTAAATATAATGTAAAATTTATGTGTAAACATGTGTTTTTGTTTTGGAATTNGAGTGAGTGAGAGAGAGAGAGAGTGAGAGAGAGAGAGAGAGAAAAGATAAAATGTTATTACCTTTTAATATAATTTCAAGAGAGAGTGAGGGAGAAAATGGTAAGTAATACAAGTAGAAAGGTACAGATAAAAAGAGTAAAGAGAGAAAAGTGGGAGAAAATGAAAGGAAGACATAGGAATGGGAGAAAGGATGGACGGAGAGAAAGCGGGGAGATTCTGACGGAGAGGAGAGAACATTAGCAAATGAGAATAGTAAATTGCAAATGAACACAGTATGAAAATAGTAAAACAACATAATGTGATTACTCTAGGAACAATATTTGTGAATATGTGTATGGTCACGCTTCAATTTTATTTCATGGTGACAAGTTTGGGATTGAAAAAGAAAGAAAGAGAGAGAAAGTGTGTGAGTTTGTGTACGAGAAAATTACGAAAAACAAAGCCTGACGGATGTGTCTAATCGAAACTCAATTCGAGCAAAAGCACAAAGGCTTTTATCGACTGTATCTCCAGCCTGTTTATCCGATTATTAAACGAATTTCTATGAAGCAAGCTTTTGTTATTCTCTTTACAATTGCATGATACACTGTAG